CTACCATGAAGGCAGTTGAGGCAGATGCAAACTTGAAGGATGCTAGGGTGGAGTTAGAAATAGCATCCGAGTAGATATTAGTGGTTTAAGAAGAGTGTGCTGATCTATCTGAGTGGATGTCTACCACGAAAACTGCTAAATAACTCCTCACCATGCAAGTTGACTACTTGGAGGCGTGCAACAAGATCACGGTTGATGAATTCGTTAGTGTGGGGATAGTTGATCTCAAGTACTCCAACCTCGATGAATTCAAGAAACTCTACGATGTTCCATCTGTCTCTGAACATCACAAACCATTCGAGGGCGACAATGTGGCGGATGGCGACTCGTCCAACACTTGACTCGAGGATCTGTAGATTCAGACTTTTTTATTACATATGTATTTAAAGAGCCACTCAAGAATTTTGAAACAAGATTTGTGTGAATGAAATTTGAATTTTAGTCTTTTTTTTGTCTGTGATCATTTGTTCGTTTGTACTTGAGTTTTGAAATTTTGTTTAGTCGATTTACATCTCATATCAATCATACTTTCAGGACTTACAAAAATTTTAAGTTTTTGATTTATAATCGTGGGTCAGATTGTCTTATGCGGTTTTTTTGTTGTGACTTTACTTTGGAAAGCTTTTTTGTCAGTTTTTCTATTTTATTGTGACCAAGCGGCGAATGCTTTTTGGTCTTCTTTATTGCGACCAGGTTGCTGAATGCTTTTCTATCGTCTCTATTGTGACCAGGCATAGGAACGTTTTTCAGTCATCTTTTTATGGTTAATCCTGATCCTCGAGTTTTGTTGTTATGCGAGGTTTATCGATCATTCGGTTCCTGAGCTTTTTTTTTTCCAAATCTGTGTTTATATTACCGCACTACAGTTAGTTTTTTCATAAGGAAGCAAGACAAATTTATTCAAAGTAACATTTTCCTTCAGAGAGAGCTACAAGGTAATCTTTTTCAAATATAAAATTTCTTACGTTTGTCTCTATTCCATGTATAGTGGAGACATTTCCCCATATATGACTTTAATTTGTAAGCTCCTGTGGCAACTTGATGGTCAACCATGAAGGGACCAGTCCAAGTTTGATCAAGCTTGTCGACCAATTGCCTTCTTGCGGCTGGATCAAATTTTTTCAGAATTAGGCCGCCAGGAGAAAATGTTCTTTCTCGGACATTCTTGTTGTAGTAACGAGTAGCTCTTCATTTGATTTTATTCTGTCGGTGTGCAACATTTTTTTGAACTTGCTCTAGCAGATTGAGGGCAAGTAGAGCTCAATCATTAACGCCTTGCCAGTCAGTGAGTTTCTCTTCGTCGAAAGATGTTGCAGTGGCTAGCCTCTGATTATGGTGATTGTATTTGATTGGTGACATGGCTTTTATTCCATGATAAAGAATATATGATGTTTGTCCGGTCGCTGATGATAGAGTGGTTCGGACGGCCCAAAGGACGAAAGGAAGCAAATCTACCCAATTACCCCTAGCATTCTCAACGTTTTTCCTTAAGCAGGTTTAGGATGATCTTGTTCGCTGCCTCTGCTTAGCCCTTAGATCTCGAGTAATGCACGGATGCAAATTTTAGATTGATTCCTTGACTCAGACATAAATCCCTCACCCCTTGATTAGCAAATTGGGTTTTGTTGTCTGTAATGAGTTTTAGAAGTAAGCCATAAAGACAAGTAATATCTGTCCAGATAAAATTCCGGATTACGTCAGCAGTAATCCGGGAGAGTGCTTTGCTTCTATTCATTTTGAAAAGTAATCCACTGCGACCAAAAAAACTTTAATTACTCTTTTGAGGGAATAAGCGTTCCGAGGATATCGAGCCCACAAACAACGAAAGACTAGGGGCTTACGATCGGTTGCAATTTGTGCGCCGACCGATGCTGTAGTGGATCATACTTCTGACATTGCTTGCAGCTTCGAGAGAATTATTCCGCGTCCTTTAAGAGGGTTGACCAGAAATATCCTTGCCTCTGGACACAATGAGGTAAGTTCTTTCCGCCAGAAATTACTTCCTAAAGGATCTCCCCCATTTCATTTTCTTTGACACACCTTAGAAGCAACAAAGTGGTTGAAATTCATAAGAATGTATCTCCATTGAGGAGCTATTGGTAGACTTTAAACTTGAACCGTAAAGGGTCTACCATTTCTTTAAGGATTTTCCCCATTTTAAGGTAGTGGGCGTAAGGATCTACCCAACTTTTCACGTCCTTGGTTTTTACTTCTATGACTTCTCTTTTATGGTTGATTGGGACAGCCTCTGGGGCGCCTTGTCTTTGAAGCATATGTTCTTCGACAAGAGATCTGCCACTTATTCTCTCTTATCTTATATGATCGATATGGAAGTCTGAGAACTTCTTAACTCCGCCATCACTTTGTTCAAATATTTGACCATCATTTCATCTCAAGCCTCAAATATTCTATTGACTTAATTGACGACAAGTTGTGAATATGATTTTACAGTTAGACGTCGGACGCCCATTTCATGAGTTAACTATTGTCCGACTATTAGTGGTTCACATATCACCAGCATGTTTGTGACCTCAAAATCGAGGGCTACCGAATGATATATATACTCCCTGATTGAACTGCTTATTGCCCCTATTCCCACTCTTGCTTGATTGGAAGCTTCATCAACATAAAAGGTACAGGCTTGTCTGTCTGTTTCAGGTCCATGGCTCGATCCGTCTAGTTTAGAGAAGTCCATTAGGAATCTGTTACAGCCTAAGCCTTGGTCGCTGTCCGAGGGATATAGCCGATTTCGTACTCGTTGAGTTCGACAACCCACTTTAGTAGTTGACCAGAGTGCTCCGGTTTTGTGAGTACAGACTTAAGTGGATGGTCAATAATCACTTTGATCGAGTGTGTTTGGAAATACAACCAGAGCCTGCGAGCCGAGGCAATCAAAACAAGCATTAGCTTTTCCATAATAGGGTATTTGACATCAACTCTCTTGATAACTTGGTGTGATGGACGGGGAGTTACTTCCCTAGCTCCTATCGAACCAGAAATGAATTGACGGCCTCTGGACCAACTCTCAAATACAATGAGAGTTCCTCCTTTGACTTTGGACTTAGCAGCAGCGGTGGTGAGACTATTGACTGCTTCAGACTTTAGAAGGTCTGCTCACACTCGGTTGACACTTATTACTTTAAAGAAAGCCGCACATTTATTGTCTGGCTTGGAAATAAATTTGCTAAGTGTGGCGATTCAACTTTCTGCATTTCTTTGGTATTTCGGGGAGAAAACATACCCAAGAGTTCCTTTACTTTCTTAGGATTAGCTATAATGCCTTTGAATGTCAGGAGGTATTCTAAGAACTTCCCGGTTGAAGCCCCAAACATGCATTTTAACGTGTTTAGCTTCATGTTGTACTTCCTGAGAGTTTGAAAAGTTTTTCTTATGTCACTTATATGTTGTTTGGTCGACCTACTTTTTATTAGAGCATCGTCAACGTAGACTTCAATATTTCTTTCTTTTTTTTTTTAGAAAAAATTATATCCATGAGACACTGACGAGTAGCGCCAAATTTTTTCAGTCCAAATAAAATTACAATAAAACAAAATAGACCTTCACTTGAAATAAAAGCCATCTTCTTAGCATCGGTCGAACTCATCTTGATCTGGTGTAGCCGAAGAAAACATCCAGAAAACTCATGACTGAGTTTCCGACAGAAGAGTCCATCAGAGCGTCGATCCTAAGTAGCGGATAGCCGTCCTTAGGGCTAGTAGCATTCAAAATTGTGAAGTCCACAAACATTCTCCATTTATCGTTAGACTTCTGCACCATTACTATATTGTATACTCATGTGGGGTATTGCATCTCCCGGATGTAGCTCGCTTTCAAGAGCTTCTGTACTTCCTTGCGAATCTGTCTAGCCAAAGTTGTTGTTGACGATTGAATCTTCTTCACAGGTTGGACGAACGAGTTGACATTGATACGATGACAAGCCGCATCAATGGGAATGCCTGATATTTCTGCGGCCGACCAGGCGAAAACATTGCGGTGCTCCTAAAGAGTCTCGATCAATATATATTTATGACCTCCATCAAAAGTTTCACTAATTAGAAAAATTTTACCTAGATTTTCATAGTTTGTTGGGATCTTGATGATGGACTCATCAGTTTCAAGGCCTCTTTCCCGTTGGTCTTGTATATCTAGCACTCCTGTGCTCCATGCTTCTCACCGCCCGAAGATAACATGTTCGGGACTGCTCCAGATTCCCATGTATGGTAACAATCTCCCAATCGTAAGGAAATTTCAACGCTACGTGGTACGTACACACCAAGGCTTGGAAATTGTTGAGAAACGGTTGACCTAAGATTGTATTGTATGTTGGTGGCGCGTTGACCACTAAAAAATCCTCAATGTTGGTAAAATGACTGCTGCCCTCTCCCCATGTGACAGACAATACAATTATTCCAAACGCCTCCTTTCTTTCGCCAGAAAATCCATACAGTGGGTCAGTCGACGTAGCCAAACATTCGGTTGTCAAATTCATTTGTTTCAATAACAACCTTGAACAAAATGTTCCCCCAGCTACCTGTGTTAACTAAAATACTACCTACTTGGTAGTTGTTAATTATTTCAGTAACGATGATAATGTTGTTGTAGGTATTTCAGGTTGGAGGATGATTTGCATCAGTGAAAATGATCAGGGGATCGGGCTTCCTTTTGGGAACGAAAGTCATGACATAGTATTCCCTCGAACGACTCCTTTTTCGGTCCGACCTTCGGATCAAATCTCCTCCCAATATTGCTGGCACTATAGCGGCCAAATCTCAAAATATGATTTTCTTGGTAATTTATCATGCTATGTAAAATAAATTTTAGGTTGAAAACGCTAGAATGTAGCTTCGATTTTTTACATGTTAGAATCCATGTTGTTCTAGATTGGAACATTGCTTGTTTCTTAGAGTGATATTTTATTTTTGTTCTCTTTTCCCTTAGTCTACTAAAAAATTATTTTCTCTTCTGTAACCAAAGATGAATAAAAAATGTACATTTTGTAGCTGGAGACGTTCAAGAGGCAACTAGTGCTTTCCCTGAATGATGATAGTCCCTCTGTGAGTTATAGGAATTTAGAAATTATCAGCAAATTTACTTTCTTCAATTTTTCTTGCATATCATCTTCTTCCTCTTCGTTTGTAAGAAAATTTTGGTATTTCTTAATCTATTTTTATTAACAGCAATCAGAAGGAGATATTGGAACCTCTGATGTCTCTGTTACTAGAATGTCTGCATGGAAAGGTATTGCAATGTGCATCTTGCTGATAATGTGATTCCATGGATAGCTTCCATGGTGATGAAAAACAATAAAAAATCTTTGTTTGGCAGCTTATTCCTGATTGCTAATCACTTGCACTTTTTCCTCTTTTAATGATGATTGAAGATCAGTCTTCCTTTAGCCGCTCATCCTTGGATGCTGATGTTGGATCATCAAAAACTGAGTCAGGAGAAGATGGTAAAGCATATATTTTATCTCATGCACTAAAACATTAATTTTGTAAGCCTTCATGTATGTTTGAAGTAGTTGATGTTATATCTTATGGCTGCAGCAAAGAAGACTGCTGGCAATAAGCTCTCAATTACTCCATACATCACTCCACAACTCAGTCCAAACGCCACCCCAAGGGTTTCATCTACTGGTGGTTCCCCTAGAAGACTCTCTACTGTAGATTCATTGCCAAAGTTTGCTTCAGGTGCCACATCTCCTACAAACTCTCGTTTTGAAGATCAAGGTTCAATGTCATCAAGATATCCTTCAAGTCAGCAGATCTCTGCAGCCAGCTCTCCTCCTCGTGAGTCATATTTTAGGTCTCTTTTATAGAACATCTGGACACATCCATAGCGCTTTGTCTCATTTATTCAGTTTTTTTCAGGTCGAACTCCACAAATAGATGGAAAAGAGTTCTTTCGTCAAGCTAGGTGAAAATGACGTTTTAGGAGTTATGCTTTATGATTTAACCAATTCGCTTTTCTCTATGATTATTTCTTTGTTTATTTAGGACCCGTCTCTCTTACGAACAGTTTGGAACATTTTTAGCTAGTATAAAGGAGCTGAATGCTCACAGAAAATCTCGTCAGGTAGTAATAAAGCTCATCTTTTTTTAGTAGCTGAGATATGTACTAATTTGAAACTCAAAACTTTCATAGTTTGCTTTGATGACAGTTACGGTTTTTAATTTTTCTAACTTTTTTTTAAATTTCTGACGCATTATCTAAATCAGGAAACATTAGCCAACGCTGAAGAGATTTTTGGCACGGAGAATAAGGATCTATATGTATCCTTTCAGCGTTTGCTCAATCGTAATGTTCAGTAAAAGTCATCCTGGAAGTCCAGGGATACTTTTGGTCGCATCAAATAAAGGTACCCTGTATTTCTTCATTTATGTCTGTATCTCAGCTAAACCTTTTTTTTTTGGCTTTGTTATTGCTTGGTAGTATCCATGTTGCGGTATGTGATTTGCTTTTTCTGTAGTTATTATTGCAATTAATTTAGATATCGTTGCTGGCTTGATTAGGTGTGTGGGTGCTGTTGTTGCAATGTTTGTATCTATAAGTTTGGGCAACTCTTTTTCTGTAGTTGATACTGCAACTCTTTTAAGTTTGTGTAACTAGACGAACAAATAAAAGATGCCTGAGATGGAGAATCTTTGCTAATATATAATGTGCTAAAATGATTTTTTATCAGGTCATTTAAAGCCTTGAGTTTATAAGAGTGCCAAATTAGTCCTCACCCTCTTTTAATGAGGTTTGAAATAGTTTTATCCTTAAAGCATCTTGGGACTTTTTTCAACCTACATTAAAAAAAATGTGGGACAAAATTGACATGTTTATAGACTTCGGGAATAAAATGGCTCCCTTCGAAGAGTTGATAGACTATTTTGACACTTATCTTCTAATGCATATATTATATGATTAAGTCTAAAAGAAACATAACGTTGGATAAATACAGTTTCTTGATTTCAAAATGTCAAATGTATGATTTTTCTTTTGTTATTTTTACTTTAAAAAAACCTTTATTTTTAATTCCTAAATTAATCCCAATCGTTGTCCCATTTTCCACATCCCTCGACTCCTCTCACTCCCCCTCTTATCTTTAGAGCTCTTTCATGTTCTTTCCTCTTCATCTTTTTGATAACATGTTTACACAAACATATGACTCTGTATGAGCACCGGATGTTTTTTTCTGTATTGCTGCAAAAAAATAGCAACCAGTAGGCTTTAAGAGCAAAAACTAAAATTTTTTTTTTTTGAAATCTCGAGTTCTAATACTAAAGATCTTAATCGTATTTACTGCTGATGAACTTGCAGGCCATTCTCCCGTAGTGCTGTCGAGCTTTGGGCAGCCATAGATATATGTATATGCATAAGCTGTATCACTCTAATGAATAAATAAAAAGCTGATGTTATGAAATGGCGGGACTACTTTCATAAACAACTTGTCCATTGGAAGCTTCTTGTTTCGTTTCTAGTCGCCCGCGCGTCGTGTGCTTTGTTTATTTTTCCTTAAATTAACTACATGGTTTAGTTAAGTTAATTTTCTAATTTTCTTTTTATTGTCATAGATTGCTGAAGCATTTTTTCATTTGTTTGTGTGAACGGGGCGAAATGTTTTGAAACGGCCTTTAAAATCTATTTATCGAGACCAATCTTTCTTAACAGAATTTTGAAACGCGCCTAGTCGCCCCGGTGTTACACAGTTATATGGATTTACGTATTTAATATATTTATAACTGTTTGATAAATTTACACTTTTGTCCTGTGGAGATAATTTTGTGAAGACGAGATTTATTTATTGCTTTTCATGTGAACCATTCAGCCGGCTAATGATCGCATTCGTTTAGTTATTCTCAAAATAATAGTGGATATTGCTGTTTGATATTGGCTCCTTTATTCTGAATGGAGTAATCATATAAAATGAATGAGTTAATACATTTAAATGTATAGGAAGATCTTCTACTAAAGTGTCACTGGCAAGAATTGTCCGGTTTATATTGCCACAATAAGTAACATTTGGAGATCTAAAAAAGATTGTTTTATTTTAAACCTCGAATTCTTGAAGTTTGCTTTAAATTTAATTTTTCATTATACAGTCATGATGGATTATTGCAACTATTGCTAGTGATGATGAAGTTGTTTTGATTTAGTAAAGCATTTTTTTTGTAGATGTTGAAATAATTTTGAATCATTTTGAAAGTGACTCGAATCTATTGGCAATTGATGTGGAACTTTTCAAGACCTTTTATAATATAATAATAGGAAGATTTAGATGCATAGCACTCAATTTATGTATATACATATCTAAAACCGGAACTTAATTTTTTACATATATGCCATTTTATTTATGCATGGAGCAACGTATCACTTGTTAAAAGTTATGCTAGTGGTATTTTGATGTGATATGAAGGATTTGTGGTCGAAATGTGAAAAAAGAAAAATTTAGATGTTAGATATGTAGATAAATAGGAATTAGGAATTGGCTGGTATGTAAAAAAATGCACCGAATAGTTAACTGTCCCTTATATAGGTATTTAAATTTAGTTTAAAATATTTAAAGAGTTAATTTAACATTGTTTATTTTATTATATCACTTACGTTGTGAGCCCGACTGAACTATCTTTTGTACCGAATTGGGCAGGTAGCTCTGCACAATAATTTCATAGTAGTAACAAATTTGAATTTCAACTTGATTTTTGTACTGGGAGTAATGGGGGATAGTTCATTAAATGCTAATTTTAGTGACGATAATAATTATCATGAAATTGGTTGTGTAGAGGGCTATAGCATTCAATATCTTTTTGGACATAATTCAATCAACTAATAAATCTTTATCAATTATAACATGGCTTATCAGAGTATGAATGATTATGTTCAAAATTAACCTATTATATATGAATGTGATGATGATGTCTGATTTGATATTTTCTTAAATTCATTCCAAACAACTTAGGCTATATTTGGCGCAGCCACAGCTATGCGGCCCCAGGAAGTTACTGCGAGGAAGCTGACTGTCTGTTTTTTACAACTGTGTGAGAACAGCTGTGGGGTTGTTGTTTTGGAAAAAAATGATCATTTTGACTTTATTCAGTAAATTTTTTTGTAACGGAATTGTGACATCAATATATTTAATATTTCAGAAGCAGAAACTCATTTCAAATCATAACAAAAGTTCAAATACACCACTCACTTTAACATTGAGTACCAAAAGTGCTACGAAAAAGAGAAAAATTAATAAAATTAATGTTAGATACTGTTCAGATAGTATAAGGGACAACAAACATGCTCGACTGTAAGCATTCCCTTTAGCATTGCTTTACATACTAGTACCAAAGTTATATTTTATTTTAAGCTATCCAACCCTGAGCAGGAATTTTTTCTTAAAGAAATCTGTTCATTACGCGCATACCACCCCGTTCCTATGTATTTACATATCAAACATATACACTATGCTTTTAACATTTACAACACCAAAAATTCTTACATTTTATAAAAAATACCAACTTTTCAACTTTCCAAAAGTGAATATAGCTTCTCGTGCATATATAAGGTGCAAAATATGAACAAAATGAAGAATAGGTGTGTTAGATATGTAAATGGATAAGGATTGTGTGGTTTGTAAGTAAATCTTCAAACAATCAGCTTTATACTTCTGATTTACCTTGTGTGGGAAGTTTAGTAGATTCCCATAATTTCAATAGCAAATCTCCAATATTTCAATGGATACACAAAATCAATCAAATTAAATTAAAGAAAGAAGGTGTTTACATATATACCATTCAATATCTATGCATTTACATAAATTTTCTTTGAAATACCTTAAGGAAAATACCTTAATGGTAAAGACCCCAGTCTAGCGCCACTATAGTTGAGTGCGGCAATTGCACTATCAACCTGCAAAAGCAAAAAGCAAAAGCCTGAGTGAGGGTGACGATCCTCTTGATTTTCTAGTTTCAAACATCTTCTCCTGTGCAGATTTCAACTAGACAAGACGAGAAGTAATCGAAACAGTGAAAAGGGAGGAGGAAATTTGCTCAAAACAGTGAAAATGGGGAAGAATATGCAGTCGAATCACCCTGGGGAAGCCGACGAGATAGGCGCAAGTGATCGAGACGAGAAAGGGGAAAAGGAATCACTCTGCCACAGAGAGATCTACGTGAGACCCGACGCTCGGGCGGGAGGCAGAAGAGTCGATGGAGCCACGAATCTTATCGTGAGAGGGGTCAAGCTGATAATATTCGCTCGAGAATGTGGGCCGCAGGTTGCGGCCCGACCTTTCACCGAATTCAACTTCCCCACGTTGCCACCGCTTCTTTCAAATGGAAAAGAAAAAAAAAAAAATTGAGGTCTGAGGCCACGCAAGGCAAAAAGATCCATCCCAAACAGACCCTTAGTTGAAGGAATGTTTTTCCTAAGCAAGATGGAGTTGCATTGCTTCTCAAGTAGATGGTCCATTAATATTAATTTCAATAATTTAACTGAGCCACCATACACATTCAAAAGATGTAATGTAACCAGCTAATGCAAAAAGATCATTAATTTAAATAATTAAATAATAATGCACAACTAGATTTACTATCAAACTGCATATAACAATGTTGATACCACACTAAAGCAAAGCTTTTATCAATATATCTATCATATCTAAATATTCATCTAATGATGAAAACCAAAATTTTTATAAACATAAGAAATCACGTCATAACAGTCACATTATTGTCTACAAAAAAATTCATTTCTTTTTAATTAGAAATAAGCTAATTAATAGAATTATTCTCTTCAATTGATTCTTTATTGTTACACAGGAGCAAGACACACAAATAAACCCAACAAAACATTAAAAATTTATCTTAAAATTCCTTTACATGATAAGTAGAGCAAAAAACATGGGCATACACCGTTCTTTCATCACTTTGTCATATAACATAATTATGAACAAAAGAATTATAAGTATCATAATTCATGCATGGAAATACACCTATATTATATATTATAATGGTTGTATTACACTTGAGCATATTAATGATAATTATTATTTCAATCATCCATAACTGTGTCATAAACGTGAATTGAAATCATAAAAAAGTAAATATTTAAATGTACTCGATATATCTCATGTAACAAGAGAGCATAATAAAGAAATCAAAATTAAAATATACTCAATATATCTCATGTAACAAGAGAGCATAATTAAGAAACTATGTAACGGAAGGATTTGATGAGAAGGCACACACTTGGCTTAATATTGTGTTATAATGATGAAAGGATACTTTTTAGATATGTGGAGGGCTTAGATATGTGGAGGGTGGATAAATATAACTAACTTGAGAGGCATTGGTGGAATGAAAGTTATTTATAAAGGTATATGTGTAAGTGGACCATATTTGCTAGCAAAGGCCATAATTAAAATGTTCTATTAGGTTTTAAAATTAGTGATTTCATAGTATTTTTTTGTTGATGCATGAAAACAACGTTTTAACTGGAAATGACACATGATAGCTCTTTATAGATTTTTTCCTAAGTGTATTTCTTCAATGTGTTAATATTTCATCAGTTGGTACCTCTTAATTAGTATCTTTATGATTTTTAAAATTTTAGGATCAGCTGCACTACAAAATATAAGAGTAAAATATGTAATAATGTAATATAATATACAACACTATGATATATGGTGTCGTATATTATGCTATGCAATATTAGAATACATCATTTAATAATATGCCATTTGTGGGATCACTATCTAATGAATTAAATATTTCTTATGTAATTCTACTTTTTTGAATACGAGAATGTATATTATATCTCACCGATGACTTTGCATCTCATAACTAATGATGAATTCAAACATGTTTGAATATTTTGACATTCAACTTCATGTTACTATGATTTATAAAATGTTAGGACTAGCTCCATTAAATAATGATATAATAAAATATGTCATAACAAGACATAACATGGAATAACATATAAAAGCAAGTTATAACATATTTTAATCTACTAAGCTATTGTGTTTTTTTATACTAAACTATAATGTTATAACTGTCTTAAACTATACTTTGTGAGGGATTACTTGAAAGTTAAAGAAAAGGCCTCCTAATTTTACCAAAGGAGTAAACATATGTTTTTATCCAAAATTGCACATTTTTTGACACAAAGTATATACTATGTCTCTTTCCCCATGTTCTGTCATAGATCCTATCATGAATTTTGCTTAATTTCATCTTCATGCCCTCCAAGTCAATTTCTTTTAATGATTTATCAAATCTTGAGATCAACTGTATTATACTTTGATGTATCAAGTCTACCATAATTATACAATAAGAAAATATAATTAGTGATAACATGTTGTAGCATGCAACAATATAATAGGCAATACTAAAAATAGTTATAATGTATTATATTATAGTATCCTATATTATATTATACTTTATCAGTGTATATTATCTTACATTATACTATCATTGTAGGAATGTTGGTTATTAGCATTCCTTTTAGCGTCAGAAAATTTCTGAC